TTGCATACGTTTTTAATATTTCTCATGGGGATTTAATCATTTTTGACTTCTCAGTCTGAGTTAAATCTCTTCTTTTTTTTTTTTGGCTCATTTCATCCGTTAAAAAAAACCTGCCTAATAATTCTGCACACCTTAATGAGGAGTTTTTAATTTCTAGCCTTCATGGACAATTATATACAGTATCACTTCTAAATTATTAAATACAAAAATAATAGTAGTTATTAAGATTGATGTGGTTTGGAATTGGTAAAATGTGAGAATGTCTGCGGGAGCGTGACACACACGTTGCGGGAGTGGGCGGTAATGGTCAGAAATTTAAGGAGAGCGGGCTTAAGAAAACTGTCCCGCTCAGGTCGCTAGGCTGCGCGTCAACACACACGGTTTTTTTTTCGCGCTCCCCCATCTCCACCCCCAATCATTAGTGCCGCTTGTTCGGTCTTTGACAGAACATATAGGACAATTTTTTAAATAGCGCCATAAACAAAATTTATTTCAAATTTAATTCAAGCACTTTCAATGACCTATGTTTGTTTTCAAGTACTTTCCAGGCCTTGAATCCATATGTCTGAAATTCAAGTACTTTCAAGAAGCGTGGGAACCCTGGGTTTTACATTTCCATTTACATCCCTAGGATTTGTCCCTAAAATGAAATGGTCTGTTTTTACCTTATTTGGAAGGGTCATGAATAATAATATTGAGCTCTGCTCTGATTGGCTGTTTCACAGTGCGGCTCAATGTTGAGCTCTACTCAGATTGGCTGTTTCACAGTGCAGCTCATTTCAGTAGCTCACCCAGCAGGAAGAAAAATATATATTTCAATACTTTCTCTGGCAGTTATATCGTTGGGTAATTATACTGTATATAAAATGCGGGCATTAGGGAGTCGCTATTAATATGCGGGGCATTGAAACGGCTAGCATAGAACATGGGCGGGTATATGCAAATGTTGGGGGCGTAACTATTAGTGATCCCGACTATAACGTCAGTCGGTGTTATGTTCCGATTCGCCTATTTTTCAGTGGTCTTTTGCATGCACGAGATTTACATAGGGAGGAAACGATGGTGTTTGAGGCTCACTGTATGTCATTTCCATGTACAGAACTGTTTTTATTCAACTACGCCAAGGTAAATACAGTTTTCCATTCTATGGCACGTTCAACAAAACATTAAAAAAAACTTTCTAATATTCCAAAATTTTGACCTGTAGTGTCGTTAGTAATTGTGCATTATAATTAGATCTGAAGCTTTAGTTTAAATGTATTTTTATGCATTGTCGGTTACTTGTATCCACTCTGGGTTTGCAACATTAGTTCATGTCAAGGGCCAAAGTGACGCATGCAAAGTTTGCCACTCTGACTCTAAAATCTTTAGTGGTTGCTAAAGTCAATGATCAACATACAACACCACACAATGCATTACAATACACAGATACATCATTGAAACACCTTTCAGTTTTAATCAGTCTTTATGAATATATTTACACTTTCTGTCATGGCAGAATATTAGCAAACTGTCTTTGATGAGACAATACAAGGTTACTGTGTTTTAGGAATAAACAAACAAAAAATCTACAAGTCAACAAAACGGTAACAGTATACAAAAAAAAAGCAAATCTACAAATCACACACACACAAACATTCAGTTCTTTCTGTCCAAATGTGCCTTAAATAACAGGAATATAAATGTCCAATTCCTCTCCAAATGATTTTTTCCTCCAGATCTCAGTTGTTGCTATGAGAGCCACTATAATCTTGTGCTGAAAGGTCTCCTGTATATGACTCTACTCGGAGGTAAAGACAGGACAGTACAGCTCTGAATGGTGTTTGACAGCTCGTGAACTGGTGACTTCAGCATCATGGCTGGTTCATCTTGGCAGCTTCGGCTTTAATGAGAGAAATCAACTCCTGATTGATCAGGAACACAAAGCGAAGACCTGCAATCTGGACAAAACAAACACACATGCGTTATTGACCAGCTTTTCATTCTTTCTAGAGAATCACTGTGCAAACAACTTCTGAGCATGTTATATGCAATAACATTATTAGGATTAAGGCACAACTTTCTGACATTTTATGTAATACAGTAAATTTTGTTCATTGTGACTTATTATAAAAACAATATGTAATGACACACTGGTCCACAAAACAGCTCTTTTCAGTATGTTAGTTTCGCAATGAGTGTGATGAACATTTTACAAAAATGAAACAATACCAGCCTCCCTGCAGCAGTTATTTTAATGAAACTAAACAAAATAATTTGATATAGAAAACAAAATAAATCAAAACTATACCCAAAACTATAATAACCTTGGTAGCGACTGGATTTGGTACCGGCACAATAGCTATGTTTCCTTCACCCTGTTTTTATGCACATTTTGAAGCATCACATCAGAAATAAGTGATGAAAATGCCAAATATAATGCCATAACTCGCAAAAACGTTTTTACACTCGCTTGAGGTGGTCTTTGACTTGTGCGAAAGAGTTCATGCGAATAATGGGAGATGGAAACGTATTTGCTGAATAAATTCCTCGATGTGTATCAAAAAGGTCATGTGACTTTGCGCAATGGGATGACGCAACTTGACTAACCATGGGACTGACCTTGTTGCACAGCATCTCAAATGTTGTTTTGGTCATTCTGAAATGCTTAAGCCAAAGTCTGTCATCAAAGTATTTCTGTTTAATTGTCTTACACGACTGCGTTCCCAAACAGCAGGCATCCACCTCCGAAAGCACTGACCGCATTTAATGTGCTTCGTCTGCTCGCTCTGAGGTGCAGGTAATTTATCATATATGAAAATGATTATATTCAGTGGCTTCTCCTAATTTTCTTAGTGATATTTAGTGCCAGTTTATCAGGAAATGATGATTTTGTTCTCTTTGACTTGTTGGATGGAAACGGTGCTTTATTTGCAAATGTGTGCTTTATTCGGGTTCATATTCACAAGGAAAGCACTAACTGAGACTTTTAATTTCTAGGTTTCAGAAATGAACCCACGGGCAACATTTGGCCTCAAAGTTGACACCTGTGGTCTAACCGAAACCAAGAGCTAGAAAGTCATTTTCAAGGGACTGAACACATGACTCTGACTTGTCATTATTTTTGCAAACATTTTGCTGTTGAAAAATCTGGATGTGATTCAGTTGCAAAATTATACTAATGGCCTCCACAATAAAAACTGAGCTTTAACTGAATCCCTTATAATACTTTTTTATGGTGATTGATAATAATAGTAGCTGATATACTGTGTGTACATAGAGGAGAACGTGATAGAAACCGTTTTATTTTAATTAAAAATACCGTTTTTTTTTTTTTTTACCGTTTTATTATTTAACTTAACTAAGTTACTAGAACCTCCTCGGTTTTTAAAACCATGACCAGTACAACCTATTTGGGCAATGAAACCAAAACCAGATTTAATTCATTAATTTATATTTAGGCGTTGATACTATAAATATTCTAGAACTGTATACAAAAATGAATCGGGCAATAAATAAATTCCAGTATTCCTACCCCCTTTGACAAGTGAATTTCCATGATTTTTCATGGAGAGTCATGACAGATTAAAAAAGAGATTTCACACAAAGAGCAGTTATAGCTCTTAGAGTGGGGCATAACGTAAAACAAATACATATCGCATTCCTTAAAACTAGCGTGTGAATAGAATTTCATTTCAATGCTTATATATTTTTGGAAGAACAATTTATGTATTTTTCATGCAATTAATGGTCTTGAAAGAAAATCTTAAAATGGTCGTAATTTTCATAAATATTATATATTGATAAGATTTAGACATACAAAATGTATTTATTTATATACTATATACAAAACATGCGGTGTAAATATGGTAAATCATTCTTTTTTGACAGCTGTCATTTTTCCAAACGGTGATTTTGTGACTCAAATGTAAACGTGTCCATACCTCCATCACAGAGTTGTTGTTGAGTTTCCACTTGTTTCCAGACAAAACTGGTCGACCATCAATGTAAATGGGTCTTCGGCCTTCATTAGCGATGAAGAAATCTCCATTATTTTTCAGTTTAATGATCCCTGGGAGTTAGAAAACCAACATTATTTCATTACTTTAAAATTGCATCCC